TATTTTTATTCAAGATTACGATAAGCTTAAAGCTAAAGTTGCTGATAATGAAGTATATATAACTGAAATCTTGGAAGAGAAGATACAAGTAGAGGAGAAGAAACAGATTATTACTGGTTAGTGTATCATACGTATTAGTTTAAGCACGATTCCCCATACTGTACGGGAAATACAGCACAGGGGGAACCGTGCTTTTACTAGTTTATGGTCATAGTGCCTGAGTGGATCAAAGGCACCAGCCCTAGACCAAGTGAAGAATAGCCTAAAGAGAACCAAAAGAGATTATATCTGGACTGTGGGGCTATATGCTCATGAAGTCTTCAACCTTGTGCTGCTCTACCCAGTTGGGGGCGGTCACAGTTTATACAACAGGAAACCACAAACTGTGCTGTATGAGATATACACGCGTATAGCACGGGCAGTGCCTTTGATGCACCCATGTACTATATTATAAATAATATTAGATGAGAGAATATTTTATTAATATAGAAGAGTACGAGAAACTGAAACTCAAAGTAGCTGATATGGAGGAACAATGTCTCATGGAGAAACAGATCATTATTGGTTAGTGTATCATCATCAATCAATAATGATTATTACTATTCTATTAATTTATAGACCTTAGAGCTAAAGTGTCTGATAATGAATTGTATACTTCCAAACTAATGAAGGAGAAGTCACAACTACAGGAGAGAGTCGCATCCTTAGCTGAACAATCCATCAAAGAGACTAGTTCCATTGGACTACAATTTAATTACCTGATCCCTTCAATGGGTAAGAGTATTATTATTGTGACTGAGTGCAGGCAGGATTTTGGTATATAGTGTTCATGCATGCAGCCTTTGTCAGTGTATTGTCAAGTTCAAAAATACATGGTATTTGATGAAATTACAAGAAGAGATTTTTATAATTATTTTGATACATTATACATGTTCTTATATATTTATTAACTTTGAGCTGATTCTGATCAAGTTTGAATTTTTTTAATTGCTAAAAAATAAGGCCAACGACCAAAGGCCTTTTGTCCTTAGCCAAATTTTATCAAAAATGGCTGGGCAAGAATTCTCCATTTTTATAATTTTTTCTGATGCATATACCATTCTTATGTTGTGTATCAATTTTGAGCTGATTCTTGGATTTTTTTAAATGAATTTTTAGAGTTATTGGCCTCGCCCAGCTTTGCGTAGGCGAAGACTAGGTACTCGGTTTGTCTGTCTGTGTTTCATTCATTCATTCATTCTGTGTGCTCTCTTTTGTCTTTGAGAATGTATATCTTTGCAATTGCGCGCTCTAAATCTGTGAGAACTTATCTTCTGTTAGGAAAAGTCTTGCTTTACTGCCTTGAGATGTTTAGAGAGCAGCTCTAGCTAGTAGAAGCTTTTTAACTCACAAGAAAATGCCCAGCAATAGCAGTAGTACTCTGGTGGTAAATGAGACTCTTTTCCAGTAGATCAAGACTAGTTATTGTTTTAATATGTGTGGGACTCTTTAAATCTTTCTTGTTGGTGAGTTACAGCTTCTTGAATTTCAACCCAGGTGAACTGTAGGTAGTCTAAAGGTCCTAAACTCTCTCAAATCACTCAATTTACATCTAGGCAACAGTATTTGTGCCATTATAATGTCATATAGCATTTATAAGAAGAGAAAAATCTGAAACTTCTTGTTGCAGCTAGGGCTTGCTGCCATCAAATAATTAATTAATAGTTGATGATGTCATGCCACACCTCCAATTTGGGAGAAGCTGGATTAGTTTGCATGCTGCTACTTCTGCAGGTAGTCTGGTAGATCTATGCAAGCTAGCTGCTATCCTTCAGGAGTACACTTGTTTTATATATATATGCAATTTGCATGTTAAAGTTCTTTTAATTTTGATAATCAAACAGCTATAGGGGCGAGGAGACGCACCGTAGGTGTCTCGTTGTTTAATATGCTTTGTGCATGGGAACCCTGACTGAGTGTATACAATTGTGTGTATACTCACTGTATATATTTTGTATAATTGACAGATAAATTGGATTGTCTGAGTGATGTCCAGGTAGCAGAGAGGAAGCTGTTCTTAATTCAAGGAGACAAACCGCAACTGATGAATTGGGAGAAATATGGTCTAAGGATTGGAGTACAAAAGGAGAGCTTACTGTCCTCTGAGACAGTAGAAGCAGCAGTGGTTGCTCTTGTAGGAGGACAGTTCCAGTTTCCTCCTAATACTGTCCTAGTCAGTGCTGTGTATGCAGTATTACTCTCAAAACCTCTCCTCAAACGGCTCATATTAGAAATACAGCACTGCGTTGATTTAACAGGACAACCAGCTCTTAGTCATCATCTCAAGTTTGCTATAGCTCCCGTAAGCACACCCAGTCTTCCTTACCAGTTCTCAATACTTGAGGGAGGAGAATTTAGCTCTAATAGTTGGTATGGATCCATTGAGCGTAAAGAGTTCTGTTTGGTGTGCATACTGGGATTGCTATTTGTAGCAATGGCTGGCATTCTTGGAGGAGGAGGAGGGGAAGGTCAGCAGCAACAAGGAGGAGGTGTAGTACCAGCT